ATAAGTAAAGCATGTGGATCGCATTGTGAGATGTTGTTTTTTCTATATTTATTTAAAATAAGTTCACATTTCGCCCGTGGTGTTGTCAAGAAAAGCATTAAGCAATGTATGCTAATGGTTGGCAAATTGTGAACATAATTACCTCATGAAAGTAAAAAGCGATGCAAAGTATGTTTTATTTTATAATATTAGACAGCCCACTAACAAGCACTTTGCAGGTTTGATCAAATTAAGGTTTTTAAGCAACCTATCTAATCTCAACTGCTTGCCTGCACTTCTGCATCTCCAACTCAGAATCTTTCCTCATGGTAAATCTAATCAGAGTTAACACGACAACATAACACTTATTGAGAATTCAGCAATACATGTCCACATCTGGCCATATTTCCAGGGGCCGCATTCGGGTCCTGTCAGCTTTCATTAATTAACGAGTTGTAACCGCTTTACTGTGGGCCTTAATGAATCAAACTATTTGCATTAGTGCACAGTGGTCCTTTGATTGATACAGTCCTTAGTGGGTAATTTGAGACTATTGAGTGCATGCTAGCACAAAGAGAAATCATTCGGGGCGCCTTGAAAGACAAATCAGAATCTATTGTGATCCTTGCACTTTACATCATAGGAAATCATGAGAACACCCAAGAGGGTTTAGATGGTCTTAAACAAGCATAGTCATCAGGCACCTCAGAGGAACAAATCAGGTTGGTTCTGTTAACAAATATCACCACACGAATGACACCAAAAAATACAAAAGCCAATGAAATCCGCCACTGCTACATGTATGACATGTGTGTTAAAAAGCACACCAGCTATCCCCCGTGCTCTGAAATGTGTATGAAAACCACTAAATTGACTGTCAAAGCCAGCTGTACTCAGTTTGCCTTTCACCCCTGTAAAGTGTCGTTATTTTTCTTGGGTGTCTTGCTGAGTTATGGCGGGCCATTGTCAGTGGAGAATGGTGGTGAGAATGTACCGTGACCTGGAGGAGAGAGGGAGGAAGGAGAAGGCTGTTCACCTGGTGCCCTGCTTCACTGCAGCGAATAATGAAATATAGTGGGATTGTGCCTTGGTGAATCCTCCCTCCTCACAGTACAGTCTATCTCCCTCATCTCCCATGGATAACCCCCTCAAACCAACTCCACAGCCATTCTGTCACGGTTTCGGCCGAGGCTGCTCCTCTTCCTTGTTCGTGGCAGGCTTCGGCGGTCGTCGTCTCCGGAGTACTAGCTGCCACCTTTCTATGTTTCTTGTTCGTTTGGTTTGTCTCTTTGTAAACACCTGTCCCTGTTTGTGTTGATGATGTTCCCTATTTAGTTTCGTTTGTTTGGTCAGGTGTTATGCGTGATTGTTTATTGTCAGACTGCCTCGTATGGTTACTATTCTCTCGTTGTTGCTTGTCCCGAGAGTTCGCACTGCGTGCGCTTTTCTTGTGTATTTCGCACTGTGTTTGTGCATAATTGTTTTTGCGCCCCCCCGGTTGGGTTGGCGACTATTTTGTTCACGTGTTGAACGTTACTAAAAAGACGGTTGAAGTCATCCTGGTTCCTGCGCTTGATTCCTTCCACTCATCTACACACACCACTCTGACAGAATCACGCATCAATCCATGGAATCAGCAGGAGCGACCGCGCCAACAGCCGGGATGGAGGAACGTCTTCGTGGGCAGGAGGATCGTATTAACCAGGTCTGTCAATGCCTGGAGGGGGTGATGAACACTCTTCACCGATGGGAAACCAGCGGGGTACCCATGCCCCCACGAGCCGAACCATCCCCATCGGTCAGTCCTCCTGCCTCATCTCCGGAACCCAGTGGGATTCGGCTCTCGCTCCCGAGGGCGTACGACGGCTCCACTGCGGGTGTCAAGGGTTCCTGCTGCAAGTGGAGCTCTACTCGCCACCGTACACCCGGCGCCCTCGGGACACGAGAGCGTCTCAGCCCTCATCTC